GCACGGCGTCACTCTCGGCAGCGACTCGGATCAGCGGGATGGTGCCCAACGCGTACATTGCCATGGCCAATGGGTCGCCCTGGGTGGTACCTTCAACTGACATGATGGCCTCGCCATCCACGTAGAGAGCCGCCGGTGAGCGATACGTGTTGATGAAAGCCGGCGCGATTTCCGGACAGAGATGACGGATATTCTGGAGGCATACCTGTCTGTTGAGCGAGTTAAACGCATTGGATGCGTCTGCAAACAGGACTCCCTCCACATCGTTCTGGTCGTAGGCAGTTTGCATGGCGTGGATGGCAGCCTCTATGCCTGACTCTTGCCCTCCACACAGCTGGAGACATCCTGCGGCATTCTCAATGGCCTCACCAACTGTGGAGAGGACGGCCTTTTCCGATGATGCGGCGTAAAATCTCTCCAACACCAATAGGTCGGATTCCAGGCTGCTTATCCAATGCGATCAGTCGGCAGGCAACATAGGCCTCGAGTGCTACGGCCCAGTACGGGGTCCACGTATGACGAAGCGATCCGTCGGGCTGTGGAGGCAAGTGCATCGCAAAGAGCATCAGACGATTTGCTGAAAGAGGTGCAAATCCGTCTCCATCCGCCTGCATCCATGCCAGATAGCCCTGCTGAGCCCTGAGTGTGGAGGGCTGCCTTCCTTATTGCATCTCTGTTGATGGAAGCGAAGCGCACAGGGTGCGGGGCGTCTGGAGGTGTACCAAATGTCACTGCTGTTGCACTGATGGGTCCGGTGTGAGGGTGCTTTGCCTTCAGGATATCCCGGACAGTCTCCGTTCCTACCATTGAGTCGAGGTTTGATCTGGTCTTGGATCTGTTTACTACCTCCTCCCTGCTTGGTACTATTACCAAGAGTAACTGATAAACTGGCGGCTTGGTATACTCTTGCTATAATACCAAGAGTACATTTAATATGTACTCTTGCTATTACCCAGAGTACATTTAATATGTACTCTTGCTATTACCCAGAGTACATTTAATATGTACTCTTGCTATAATACCCAGAGTACATTATTATTATTAGGCCAAACTAGAGAAGGTGTGTGGTTCGACTCACCCGACCGACCGTACAATTTCAGCCCGACCGTAACTTTTTTTCGGCGGGCTGTCGTGTGACTGACGTACGTGGACTGAACACGTCCACGTCTACGTGCTGTGCGGCGTGAGTCTGCGGACGCAGGCGGACTTGACTTGTAGTTGTACTGCAGTGCAGTGCAGTGAGTGGTACGACTGCTGCCTTTGTGCTGGTAGTAGAGTCTACTCGATACGCGTATACAGTGTATTTACATGTACTAAAAAATATATTAAAAAAAAAAAATCCGCCCGCCCGCCCGTAAAAAAAATGTCCATGTTAGTCGAACCACACACCTTCTTTAGTTTGGCCTTATTATTATTATTATTATTTGAAACTCGGATGTTGAGCCATAAATAAATGTGGAAGAGAAAAGGACATATGGATACGAGTTAAGCGGGATTCACAGAAGCTTTTTTGCGATGCGACACGCGATGCGACGCGATCTGCGATGGATGCGTGCGATGCGAACTTGCGAAATACCATTCACAGAAGAAGTCAGCGATGCGACAAAGTTTTGCTGATTTGGGTACGTCACCATGATATTCGCGCGGTTTGACACAACTTGTAAAAATTTAAAGGCAACTCTTGCACCTTTGTACAACTTTGCTGTAGAAAAGGTCAAAATCGTACACCAAATCGCTTGTCGCATCGCATCGCATCGCAAAAGTTGAGCCAAGCTCAACTTCTGCGATGGCATGCGATGGCCCAGTTGCGTCAGTTGCGTGGGGTGCGACATGGCTGCGATTTGGGGTTTTCCCGGTTTCGCGCCTGTCGCATCGCGCGTCGCATCGCAAAAAAGCTTCTGTGAATCCCGCTTTAAGAGTAACTCTCCATCACTGTAACTTTCTTTACTTATCTTTGATATTTATGACCCACCCAAGTTGGGTGGTGTGCTGCTTTGCTGCTTCGAATTGTAGTTAGACCGCTTTGTCAAATATCGTACTGGTCTCGTCATCGTCCAGTAACAATCGACATTCTTTGTTCCGTTGGGACTGTAGCTTTTGCTCGTTTTCGTTGCGCTTGCCTTCCCCTCTTTGGTCTTTTCCATAACCTTGAACCTTCCAAGTTGGAAGGCTGTCGGTTAGCGCTACGGAGATGTGTTGAAGCTAGGTGTCAGGACGTCGAATGTTTCAGTACTCTGTCAGTTTTGTGCCTAGTTATTGCACTTTCTGACTGTATATAGTATCATGTTACAGTGATGGAGAGTTACTCTTAACTCGTATCCATATGTCCTTTTCTCTTCCACAATTATTATTATTATTATTATTACACAGAGGGTGTGCGCCTTAACCTGCAATAGTGCTCAAATGCCCGGAATGGGCAGAGCGTAGTACGCAAGAGGTACACAAAAGGAAGTATATAGGGCTGTTGTCTGATGATTGGTTTTTGCCATGAAACTCTGAGTTACAACAAAAAAACAGCCCTTATACTTCCTTTTGTGTACCTCTTGCGTATTATTATTATTATTAAATTTTTGATAGGGCAATCCCCACAGGCAAGAGTACATAACCCCCCAGAGTGTGCAACTCCCACATACCCTGCTGTCCCGACAGAATTTCAAGTTGACGTCATTATTTATGACGCAATGCTCCTTGCACCAGTGATTTACAACATGTGTACGGGTGTCAACGCATCACACGTTTTTCTTTCCAATAATTTGTACAGGATCGATCGGCTTCGGTCAACCACAGGTTCCGGATTCGTCTGATAATCCGTGTACAGGTCGCATTGCATCATCAAAATGACGTCAACTTGAAATTCTGTCGGGACAGCACCCATAGTGGAGTTGCACACTCTGGGGGGTTATGTACTCTTGCCACAGGCCTAAGGCCTTTTGACAGGGTACCCTAAAAAATGAAGAACAGAATTACGGAAGGTATGCAAGGAAGAACTTGAGCGGACCTCCGCTGGGAGGGCATTCCAGCGGTCAGAGCCAAGGAAAGTGACAGAAAATAAACCATAGCGACGTTTGGCTGTCGGAAGAGCAAGGGAAGAGGACACTTGAGAGCGGGTGCGAGAACTAGTGCAGGTAGAATTAGAGCGGAGACAGAAACAGTTAGCAACAAAGACACTAGCCAGATCATGAAGCGCACGGTACGTTAGAACGTACAGCTTGAATTGGTACCTGACAGACAAGGGAATGATATGGTAGCGGGCAAGAACAAGGGAGACATCAGATAGGCGGGGCATGCAAAATACAATACGCAGCGCTCTATTACTAAGTCGGACAACACGGTCATGGAGGGAGGCAGAAAGGCAGTGAGCAAAGGAATTAGACCCATACTCAAGTATGGACTGAATGGAACAGATGTAGAAAGCCCTCTTAGCATCGATCGTTAAATGGTCTCGGACCTTTCTAAACATTCCTAACTTACAGCCTATTTTACGTTCTAATTGTGCAATGTGAACTCCAAAGGAGAGATGTTCGTCAAGAACTATACCGAGGTATTTCACGTGTGCACTAGGGGTGATGGTGACATCTTCAATCTGAACGTTGACATCGGGGTCAAGAGGTTTCGACTTTGGCCTGAACACAACAAGCTGGGTTTTCGAGGAGTTCAACATAAGACCTCTCGTTGCCAAGAATTCCTTTACTTTGATGATGTCCTCTGTGAGGTCTTTGCATAAGTTCTGGACATTCTTCCCCGCCCTGTATAAAGACACATCATCTGCGTATTGACGGGCTTTGCAGTGTTTGGGCACAGCGGGGAGTTTCCTCACGGACAAGTTAAATAGAAACGGCCCTAAAACAGAGCCTTGTGGAACGCCTCTGTTGCTTGTGTATGGTTGCCGCCCTTGTTGAGTCTTAGTGACCACGCACTGTTGTCTGTTTGTAAGGTAGCTGTGAAACCATTGCAGAGCGACTCCGCCAATACCAATCTCAAGTAGTTCTTGAAGTAACATGTTGTGGTTGACAGTGTCAAAGGCCTTTGACATATCAAGGAAGGCAGCCACTACGTAGTCACCCTTGTCCAAGGCGAGCATCCAATCGTTGGTAACACAAGTCAGCAAGTCTTCGCAGGAGTGGCCTCTGCGGTAGGCGAATTGCTCTGCAGGGAGATGTTGCAGTGCGGGTGGTGCATTCTGGATATAGCGTATGAGTTGATCATGCACTATGTGCTCAAGTAACTTTGACATATGGGGGAGCAGTGAAATTGGTCTGTAGTTGGAGGAGACCGACTTATCACCGCGCTTGTGGATGGGGCGAACATGGGCTGACTTGTACGGAGCTGGGAATTCACCAGACGTCAGAGATTCAGATAACAACTTGGATAGTGAGGGAGCGATCTCATCGTTGATTAACTTGTAAGCAGCAACTGGAACATTGTCTGGTCCGGTGGCTTTACGGCTTTTCATGCGTTGGATGTAGTATTGCACTTCCGGAACACTGACTGATGAAAACTGAGCTAATGAGTATTCAGGTAGAGGGCCGTGGGGCATGCAAGGTGCACTATCAGAAATCGAGGGATCGTTCACGACTTTCGCAAATGTCTTTGTGATGTCGGAGACATTAGCAGCAGGTTCCTGATTTGCTTTAGCTCTGCCAAGTAGATTGTTTATACTACTTTCTTTGGTTTGGCGAACATGATCACAGACGGCAGTACATGTAGTACCATTGGCAGCGCTTCTTCTGCAGAAGGTTTTTTTAAATAGAGAGGTCAAGATGCACGTTACGTCTGACGTGACGCGAAAGATCAGCTCGCGTTATTTGGCTCGCGCGTCGAACAACAACGCAAGTGACCTGCAGCTCACGTCCAACTTTGGAGTTTCACGCCAAATTTGACGTGAAATTGCGCGTCACGTCGGAACTAACGTGCATCTTAACCCTCTCTACTATCCAAAGTGGGTCAAGTTACGTGAGTGTACCTTTTAAAACTGATAAGTTGTTGGAACTTCAGGAAGACACGATATTATTATAGTGAATAGAGTTGAGCAAATGGAAGAGGTTGTCAGACGTGCCACATAGCACAGTAAGCAGTAGCAAATTGAACAAACGGCCGTAGAAGAGAACGGATAACGGAAATGGGGAAAGACGAAAACAAACAAGCAGACACGTACACAAACAACGACACGCCTAAAAAGATCAGGACAAACGAGATGCACACGGCGCAACCTAAGACACAACAGCGCCGCTTATACCGAGCAAGAAAGTAAAGAATGCGGCGAGCTGCGAATCCCGATAAAAAAGCAAACAAACATGCGCTATACACTCGACCAGGGCTATCCGAATCCCGTGAATGCGTGTGCGTCCAGGCAGTGGGCATTGGCAGGGCAGTGCTACTGAAGACTGTGTGTGCATACTCAACAGGTGAACCCGCTTGCAGAATGGCTGAGCTGTAAAAAAAAGAAAAAAAGTCAGGAAGAATTAGAAATTTTTAAAAGACGGGATTTAGGAGGCGGACAATTAATCCTCCATGGAAAATGTTTTTGAAAGTTATCTGACGGATGAAACTGGCGAACTTGTTGCTATATGATCGGGCCGCTTGATGGTTAGAATGCCTGTACTGAGATGCTAAGCCAGAGTGTGTGCGTAATCAGTGCAGCTGAGGGCATCGGCAGAAGTGGGTAGGAAACGAGTACCAGGCAGTCCTGCAATAACGGGAGCCCGTCGAGTATGTCAAGAGGGACAACGGGATGTAAGGATACCAATCTCCAGGGAGTCCTGCAATATTGGCCGTCCGTCGAGTACGTCAAAACCGGGGACGATGTAACGTTCAAGCGACGCTGGCGAGGCCGGAGAGTAAGCCAGGGGACAAGAGCAAAATATTGAGCACTTTGCCTTTAGAGGATTACATCCATACGAATAGGCATCTAAAGTGTTGGATTGTTGTTTATGCGAAAGGTGGGGAAAGGGAGAGGAAGAAGTCAGCAACTAAAATAGTCTTGAAGAAACTAATCGAACGAGCTTTGGGAAGAACACCTACTAATTTTGTGTGTCTTCAAGGATAGACAAGCTCATCATCGCTCCGGACAGGGTACATAATAGTCTTGAAGAAGCTAGTCGAACGAGCTTTGGACGAGCACCTAATTACTCGAATCGCCAAGGATCGGCAAGCTCATCATCGCTCAAGACAGTGTACGGTGTGCCCATCCCGCTGGCCTGAGAGTAGCGGAAAGACGTGTTCCGCGTCAGACTCGGCGACATGGCGCAGTTGTCTCCGCCGCCGGCGAGGATGTAGCTAGAATCACTATGGCAACTGGAGGGCTGCAGGAACGGACGCGGTGTGCCGCTCGGCTCGTCGACGGTGGCTGGCCGCGGCGCCAGCTCCACGGGCTCGGCGTAGGCGTCGAGCTGCGTGTGCGCCACCAGGCGCTGCGTCTCCGCTGCGGCCGTCTCCGGCCAGCTGTGCCGACGCTCCGTCGCCGAAGCCGCAGGCGCAGCCGCATCCTTGGCCGGCGCCAGCGCCAGCAATGAACGATGACGGTCGAAGCCGATGGGACACGCCACGTCAGACACCAGTACGTGGCTCTCGTAGATCGATTCCTCAAAGACGTTTTCGTCCGACACCCGTATGAACTTCATCGTCATGGTGGGCGGGTTCAGCGAAGATTCGCCGCCGGGCAGTTCCGGAGCGGTGCGAGCACGATCGCGCGACAGCTGCGACAGAACGGTGGCTAGCTGTGCGTACGGACTCAGCTCGTCGTCGTCCTCCTCGCCGCACACGGACAGACACGGCGACGGAATGCTGGTGTCTGGCGGCTGCGAGGTAATTGACGAGTACGGAGTGTATTCCGTACTGTGAGTACCGCCTGGGGTGTGGTCTACGGAGGAACGCGGCGACGTGTACGGAGTGGCGTCAACGATGGTCTGCAGGCCCGTGCTTGATTGGAACCGCGCCATGGAGAAACGACTGGCGCTGGTCAGAGACGAGGTGCGACGCAGAGGTCCGCGCGATGCCAACGGCTGCCCGCAGACATCGGTCACCGACTGCACGGGGCTCATGTCGTCGGCGTTCTCCGACGGTTCTTTTGAAGACGACGAGCGGGATAGACCGTGATCGGGCGTTGACCGCATGCTGCTGCGCGAGTTGACTTCGCTCTCGCGATGCGAGCGTGCTTCCGGCGGTGATGCCGATGCGTGGCATGCTCCCCTCTCAGCAGCGGCGCTGCATTCTTCAGCCAAGCATGATGTTGACGGTGCTGACGCCGACACCTGCGAGCCGCCGACTTGCTTCCCTCTGCTTTGCTGCTGCTGGAGCTTCGGTCTTGTCGCGCTGGTGGTGGTGTCGCCCGGAGCTGGGATGTGCCGCGATGCGCCGAGACTGACGTAGCTCGGTTCATGCCCGTTGTCGCCACCGCCATTGCCGACAGAGGGATCCTTGGCGGCGACGGCTGCGGCTGCAGACGCCTGGGCGGGTATTGCCGGAAGCGGAACGTTGTGCTTGGACACGGTTGGCTGCACGGCGCACGGAAACGAGTTGAAGTGCGCCCGGTCCTCGCGCAACTGGCCCTGCAGGTGCGACACAAACGTGTTCTTCTCGCTGAATCCCGAACTGCCCACCGAGGTTGGCCGCGTGAGGATCGAAGGCTCTGCGCCGGATCTCTCCTGCTTCTTAGAGGCGGTTCTTGCCGGTGAATTGTGGCGGATTCGTCCCAGAATCGATCCGATGGAGGTCGAGGAGATGACCTGTTGGGATGTGATGCGTGCCAGTCCGAACGACATGGTGCGATTAATGTGGCTCTGTTTGAGGGAGGCTGTTTTATCGCGAGGTAGTCGCGGCCTTGGGCTGTCGCTCACAGGCGGCGGTGGGCCGGATAGCGACGACAATGACACCTGCTTGCGAGCCAGCATCGGAGACTGCTGCGCCGCGGGATTGGGGGGAGACACGCTGGATAACGAGGACGACGATCTCACGGACGTGGGAGACTGCGCCGCTGCTGCATTGGGCGACGTGTTCGATAGCGACGCGGACGACACCTGGTGATGAAGAGACGCGCCGGACCTAGTCGACGCAGACGACACCTGTCGGTGGAGCGATGTCATGGGCGACTGCAGGTTAGGCGGCGTGTTAGATAGTGACGCGGAGGACATCTGCCGGTGAATGGACGAGGTCGACGACGCTACAGGCATGCTAGGCAGTGAGGCCGAGGACATCTGTCGATTGATGGATGTCCACGACTGAATGGGGGATCCGTTGAGACCGGCGATGCCCATTGGCGCCGGCGACTCATTGCCGCTGTGGGCTTGCTGCTCGCCGTCCAACTGGTCGTTTCGGAATCCGCCACCAAAGAACGACGACGAAGCGGGCAGGCTGGCCGACGGCTGATCCAGCGTTCGCTCACAGCCGGACCTGGTCATGAACAGCTTGCCCAGGCTGGCAATGTTCTTGAACGCTTTGCTGCCGCCACTACCGCCTGCACCTGTGCCAGCCAGTGAGGCCGTAGTGCTGACCCTGGGACTGACTTCCGGCGACCAGTCCTCCATGTACTCACACGCCACGTCCTGCTCCACCGACTTCCTTCCCGCGGAGTACTTCTTCGTCAGTCGCCGTCCCATGTCCAGCGGCCATTGTTTCGCCGCGGACGTTTTCCTCGACGCAGTCGTCTTGACCACGTTGCTATCGTGGCTGGCGTTGTTCTGCTGCTGCTGCTGCTGCTGCTGTTGTCGCTGCATGCTAATGTACTGGGACAGGCTGCCCGAGCAAGTTGAGATTGTACTGGCCCGCACTGATATGGCACGGGCTCGTTCACCCGGAGCGTTTTCCGCGCCGCCATGGGACGCAGCGCTGTCACTGGAGCCCAGGCTGTGCGAGCTGGAAGCGTCCATTAGGCGCTGCAGGCGCGACGGAGCCGAGGGAAGCCTCGGGCGGGCGTCAAGCACCGAGGCAGTATCCTCTGTGCTACTGCTCGTTGTGCACACACCACCATTGCAGTCGATGGAGCTGCGCTGGAGGCTGAACACTGTCCGCGGCCCCATTTCCGCCACGCTCGTCTTTGTGAATAGCGTCGAGTTTAAGCTGTGGCTGCGAGGTCGCGCGGACACCCCAGCCAGCGCTCTGTCCACCAGCAACGGGTCATCCGCGTTCCCACCACCATCGCCGGACTGGACGACGAAAGAGAGTCGTCCCTTGGGGCGTCTGAACGCCGGTGGCACGACGTCGTCTTGCGGTGCATGGTCGGCCGGTGATGCGGTGGCTATCGAGGCGCTCTGCTGCAGGAAATCCAGCTCCGGCGCGGCCTTGTCCATTGACACGCTGTTAGCAATACAACAAGCACACAGGCACACGCAATGAGCACAACAAACATTATCTCTTATTGGTGATGGTGCCATTGTGAGAATAAAGAATTCAAAAAAATTCAAAAAACATTAGGGCTGAAACGATCATTCAGTAACTCCTAACGATCAACAAATATCATTAACGATCGATATATTTGAAACTCGGATGTTGAGCCATAAATAAATGTAGAAAAGAAAAGGACATATGGATACGAGTTAAGAGTAACTCTCCATCACTGTAACTGGATACTATATACAGTCAGAAAGTGCAATAACTAGGCACAAAACTGCCTTCCCCTCTTTGGTCTTTCCATAACCTTGAACCTTCCAAGTTGGAAGGCTGTCGGTTAGCGCTACGGAGATGTGTTGAAGCTAGGTGTCAGGACGTCGAATGTCTCAGTACTCTGTCAGTTTTGTGCCTAGTTATTGCACTTTCTGACTGTATATAGTATCCAGTTACAGTGATGGAGAGTTACTCTTAACTCGTATCCATAGATCGATATATTGGTTATCGATTCTTGACAGCTCTATCGATCACCAGTTTATGAAGAAATTCCATGATACCTTTGCTATGTTAGAAATTTGTGGCACCGCACTGTTGACATCTGTAGATAGCTGGCTGGTTTTATCAACACGAACTACTCAAGTAGAGAGCTTCATGTTGTTGCTAGAGCGAAGAATCTTGTCATCACCCTCTGGCAACTGCTCTCATCTCCGACTTCTCCCACGAAAGAACCAAAAAGGCAAAGTCTTCTCTCCCGATCTCTTTCAAAGACACAAATCAATTTTACTGCACTTGAAAGTACATGATTGTAACCACTATCGGATGGAGTGCAAGGGCTAGAATACTGTCACTAATATGCATGCATAAAAAATCGTTAGCACTCGTTTTGAACACTAACGATTATCGATTGCACTCTTAACGATCGATATGCGAGTTATCGGTATAATCGTTTCAGCCCTAAAAAACATGCACGCACACATACACGTAATGAGCACAATAAACATGCATGCAAGGACACGCAAGCACGTGTGTGCATTGAGCACGAAAAACAAGTATTCATGGGAGAAAGGAGGGTCAGGGGATGGTTCCCGGGTCGCTGATTAGTTTTCAAAAGCGAATGATTTACTCAAATTTCAGAAATTTTAGGTGCTCAATATTTTCGGTATGAGGGCAAAAGGCCAGGTTAGGTGAAAAGAAATTTTCGGTACAGAGCAGCAGTTCCCTATTGGATTATGTGTGTTAGTGTTTGTTCGGTGTATTGAAATTTTAGGTATGAAACAGATGCACCGAAAGCACCGAAAATAAAAGTACACCGAAAATTTGTGAAATCACAGTACCGCAAAATCCCGCCAGAGCACCCCGTCTCTCCTATGCGCCGCTCCCTGGCTTCTTGTCAGGGAAGTGGTTGATTGTATCCTCGTATGACCCTGTGATGCCGTACTGTACTGCAGACGTGTGCTCGACCCGGTGAGAAATGTACGCCACAGTTCCCTCCCTCTTGACCAGGATTGCACAAGCCCTGGGTTTTGATGGGTGTGTACGACTTCCTGCTCTTGACCTTTGGTCGGTGTACGAGATGCACGCACAGTCTTCGTATGGTATGGGAGCACCTTTTCAAGTACTACTGAATGCCGCAAGTAGACTCGCCCATCCGCCCCTCCTCACATGGACCTACTCGAAGGGTCGCGGAAGTATAGGGGTGCTCTGGCGAGATGTTACTCTAGTAGTTTTCAGCCTCCACCAACCCACCACCCGCCATTTTGCAAGTATTTACTATTTGGCAAGATACTGATTTCAGTATACAACACCGTCGGCCATAAGGTAGTATTCAGACTCCACCAACCCACCACCCGCCATTTTGCAAGTATTTACTATTTGGCAAGATACTGATTTCAGTATACAACACCTTCGGCCATAAGGTAGTATTCAGACTCCACCAACCCACCACCCGCCATTTTGCAAGTATTTACTATTTGGCAAGATACTGATTTCAGTATACAACACCGTCGGCCATAAGGTAGTATTCAGACTCCACCAACCCACCACCCGCCATTTTGCAAGTATTTACTATTTGGCAAGATACTGATTTCAGTATACAACACCGTCGGCCATAAGGTAGTATTCCGCCATTTTGCAAGTATTTACTATTTGGCAAGATACTGATTTCAGTATACAACACCTTCGGGCATAAGGTAGTATTCAGACTCCACCAACCCACCACCCGCCATTTTGCAAGTATTTACTATTTGGCAAGATACTGATTTCAGTATACAACACCGTCGGCCATAAGGTAGTATTCAGACTCCACCAACCCACCACCCGCCATTTTGCAAGTATTTACTATTTGGCAAGATACTGATTTCAGTATACAACACCGTCGGCCATAAGGTAGTATTCAGACTCCACCAACCCGCCACCCGCCATTTTGCAAGTATTTACCATTTGGCAAGATACTGATTTCAGTATACAACACCGTCGGCCATAAGGTAGTATTCAGACTCCACCAACCCACCACCCGCCATTTTGCAAGTATTTACTATTTGGCAAGATACTGATTTCAGTATACAACACCTTCGGGCATAAGGTAGTATTCAGACTCCACCAACCCACCACCCGCCATTTTGCAAGTATTTACTATTTGGCAAGATACTGATTTCAGTATACAACACCGTCGGCCATAAGGTAGTATTCAGACTCCACCAACCCACCACCCGCCATTTTGCAAGTATTTACTATTTGGCAAGATACTGATTTCAGTATACAACAACGTCGGCCATAAGGTAGTATTCAGACTCCACCAACCCACCACCCGCCATTTTGCAAGTATTTACTATTTGGCAAGATACTGATTTCAGTATACAACACCGTCGGCCATAAGGTAGTATTCAGACTCCACCAACCCGCCACCCGCCATTTTGCAAGTATTTACTATTTGGCAAGATACTGTAAAACGACAAACTTTCGCGGCGGCTAAATTTAGCGTTTTGGCAAACTGGACCAGTTAGCGGCGATTAATTTTAGCGATTTTACCTTCCACTGAAAATCTTCAAGAATGTTATTTTACGAAGTCTTGGAGTGCTGGGACGCAGAGCGCACGAAGAATGAGAGAAGAAATCAAAGAATGAAAGAATGAATCAAGGAATCAAAGATAATCATAAGGTGAGTACTAGTACTGCAAGAAAGGATGGCGTTTTCGAAGAGGGATCATCGGAAGGCTTTCTCTTCGAACTGCTGAGCCACTGCGATACTAATGGCGATAAACTTCAGAAGACTTCTTCGCGCAGTACAACACTAAAATCTGCGCAACAGCAAGCTGGCCAAACACTCTCCACAACACTGAGACATTCTCCAGTCGATCGTTTTATTCTCTTCTACAATTCTGTTCAAGTCGCCGTACTCCAACGACAACTTGGAAGACTAGTGTTGGTACGTAACTTTCAACAGCTGCGCGCTTTGGACTTTAGCCGTGCAAGCATCGATCAGCGCTAGTCCAGAGTCTGTGCAGTGCATGTACAGACAGTGCACGATCGATCATCGACGCATCGCGTAGTACATGATTGTACAAATTTCTTATTCGCGTGTCAAACTTTCGCGATTCGGCTCTGCTCGCGAAAGTCGCGAAAGTAAATCGCTCGCGAAAGTTTGTCGTTTTACAGTACTGATTTCAGTATTCAACACCGTCGGCCATAAGGTAGTATTCAGACTCCACCAACCCACCTGCGTGTTAGGGGCCGTCCAAGGTTACCAATAGAATTTTCAAAACGAAAGGTTTTCGTTTGGGGGTGGGTGGGTTTGAAGGAGTTTCGTTTTGAAAATAATTATTGAATGCAGATGGAGAATGCCCAGGTACATGTGGGTGTCGAAAATTAACATCAATATTTTATTTTAATTCATTTTACCTGCAGAAAAGGTAGGTGGGTGGGTGGGTGCTGAAAAATACTAAAACTTTTCGTTTTGCGAAAACTATTGGTAACCCCGGACGGCCCCTTATGAATGAAATAAAGTTTTAGTAAATTACTGTAAAAGGGGGAAAGACAAAATGTGACGAGACATGACTAACCACGAGTCAAAACTAGTGACATTTTGTCCTTCTCCTTTTTACTATAAGTAAATTACTGATTCCATTAATTATATAAAAATTGAAGAAACACATGAGAACGAGTTATGCAGTAACTATCCAAGACTGTAACAAGATGATAAACGGTCAGGAAGTGTGATAATAAGACACAAAACTGACAGGCTACTGAGACAGTGGTGGATAGTTGCTGCATAACTCGTTCTCATGAGATTCTTCTCTTTTTTACATTTTATTACTGGCTCAGTATCCAAGTTCAATTACTTACTTTCAACACCCTCGGACTGAGAAGAAGTCTTGTGAACTCAATGAACACTGTCAAGATGTACCCCCACCCTGGGGCCCACCTCTAACTCCCTCCAAACACCAACTACTGCTGCATGACTGCACTAATTCGCAGCACCCTTTTCGTTTGTGCCTTACCCGTTTGGGCACTCACTGTGTCACCTCCGTAAAGAGGACGACTCTATGCTTTTCCTTACATGTACGATTCACGTTGTACACCTTTTTCTTATAATCACACAACTCCCGAGAACAGGGACAGATCAATAAAGAACACCTCTCAACAAGAGAAATTCTAAGCTCGTATCTGTTACGAGGGTTGTGCCACGGGGCATTGGGATCTCACCGAAACACCAACCAAAAGAAAATGCATTTTTTGTGAAAAGCAATATCATCAGAAACATCTGGATGGACCCCCCCCCTGCATCATCACAAGAGCAAGTGGTCTTTTTGCTGCTAATCCAATAGTCTCAGCCGGATTTTCGGCCAGGAGCCATCACCTCCGGAGGGGCCCCGGAAAGAGAAATTCTCACCTCTCCGCCTCGTCCGCAGCCTTCCGTTTCTTCCAGAAGATGAGACCTAGCAGTGTGAACATAATGAGTCCTCCGATACCAGCAACGATGCCCAGGTACACGGTTGCAGAGGACATGGTCGCTGTGGAGAAAACACACACACACACACACACATACGCGCATGCACACACACACACACACACACACATACACACACACATACACACACACACACACACACACACACACACACACACACACAATGGCACAGAAATTAGAAAAATTTCACGGTTTGCGTTACTACCTGTTAGACTGGGCCTTCGGCATCCATAGGAACGCCACCATCACCAAAGATCCCCCAATGGCACAAGCACAGATATAAAAAAGAACCACCACAAACACGTACACACACATGAACACCCACACACCCACACCCACACACCCACACCCATACACACACACGCACACACACACGCACACACACACGCACACACACACACACACACACACACACACACACACACACACACACACACACACACACACACACACACACACACACACACATACACACACACACACACACACACACAGTGACACCTGCTTCTACAAAAGACAGACTACAGGAAGAATACTAGTAGGAAAAGAATGACAAGTCATCCTTCAGGTCAGGACAAGTCATCCTTCAGGTCAGGACAAGTCATCCTTCAGGTCAGGACAAGTCATCCTTCAGGTCAGGACAAGTCATCCTTCAGGTCAGGACAAGTCATCCGTCAGGTCAGGACAAGTCATCCTTCAGGTCAGGACAAGTCA